ACAGGACACCAAGAACCCACCGAACCAACCCCCGTATCGAGCCGAGCCAAGAAGGGGGGGTTGCGGAACGCGCAGACAGGAGGGGGGAGGGGGGGGAGGGGAGAAGGGGGAGGGGGAGGGGAAGGGGGAGGGGAGGGGGGGAGGGGGGGAAGGAGGGGAGAAGGGAGGGGGGGGGAAGGGGAAGGAAAGGGAAGACAGATTTAAGAACTGAATGCAAACGCTCTTTTTTAGGATCCTGCCAGCAGTCGAAAGTTCTGGTCGGAGGACACTGCACGGCCTTCGGCTTGAAGGGCACGACAGGCACGGTGGAGGACTGTCCGTTGGCAGTCAGCTGCGGTAGCAGGGGCCCAGTCCTCCAGTGCACACAAGAGCTGGTCTAGCGAGGCCGAACCCACCAAGCCAAGGTGGCGGAGAAGCCAACGCCGGACACGCCGCAGGGGAAGACGGACAAGACCTGCAGAATCAGCGCCTGCCCCAGGCAGGCAGGCTTGCGCAGACGCATACATGTGTTGCGACAAAGCAGACCCTGCTGGAAGGGGGGGCTGTTGCGTCGGGAGCGCCTGGACAGCGTCGCACAGTGAGCAGAGGCAGTCTGGACACATTTGCAACAGGTCCGCACCATTGGCCAGGTACGCCGGGCGCGCACCGTGGTTCCACCGACACTCGCCACGGAAATGGATCTGCGTATGGCAAGAGGGGCACACAATGCCCGTGACCTTACGGCACCATGGGCAAGGCTTGGGCAGGGCAGGGGCAGGGGGCAGAATCAAACCTCTACACTCCCAACACAGACCCACTAGAAGGACTTGTGGCACACGTGGGCAGGAGCAACGGTGGGCCAAAGCCGAAGTGACGGAACCCCACGGTGGGAGCGCTGGACCCCAGCTGGGCTGGCCAATGCTGGCCATCAACCAGGAGAGGCACACCAGCACGGTGCAAGGCTCCCACTAATGTGGAGTTGTGGCTGCGACCACAAGCAAAGGCAGCACGGAGACGCAAAAGGGCCGCCGATTGTGGTAGGAGAGCCCAACGTAGCTCACGGGCGAAGGGCAAGGCCTCATCGGAGGAGAGCCACACAGTGAGGGGTTCGGGGGGCTGCTCAGACGGGGAGGGAGCAGCGTCAGGCACAGTTGGAGGCGGGGGGAGTGAGGCCAAGGCCAGCCTGGTCCACACATCTAGATGAACCGGAGTCCCAGGGCTAGACGCTGGCTGAGCAATATGGCCGGTAAAACCCGCTTGCGGTGGGCGGACAAGCGGGAGAGCTCTGACTGGAGTTGCGCATGTTGCCGAAGAGTCCAGTAGGATTCCATGTCTTGTTCCTCCAAGTCCGCCAGCTCCTGGGAAGATAGTTTGCAAATGGCCTGGCCGAGAGAACGCGGTAGGGTGCAACGGTAGGCTAAGTCAGCACCAACTTCCCGGGCGGCAGAGGCTGCACTGCTCCCATTAACATCCGCCGACAGGACCGCTTCCCTGGCTGGGATGGACACGAGCCAGCGCCAGCCAGAAAGGATGGGCCACCGCTGTAGCGCTTGGGCAGGCGGGGGAGGAGGAGGTGCACCGGAGTCACGCCAGGCATCAGCTGCGGCCAGCAGTTGGGGAGGTGGAACGACACTCGCGAGCTCAGCTTCAATTGCGTCCCGGAGACGGTCTACCAGGGGGGCCATGGCCGGACAGGACATAACCACATAGTCACATTGATGCGTCCCATTCACGGCAACCTTTAGTAAAAGGCGAAAGATTGGTGCGCTATGAAGTGAACGCTGTGAGGGGTTTAGCGTTTAGGGCTTTAGGGTTTCGGGGTTTGGGGTTGAGGGTTTCGGGTCTGGGGTTTCGGGTTTAGGGTATAAACTAGATGGAGATTTGGGTTGAGGGTTCTGGGGGCCGGGTGCTTTAGGGACTCAGATGGCGTGCGGGCTTCTAGGAGCTTAGGCGCTTGGTGTTAGTGGGCTTACGGGCTTAAGGCCTCCGGGGTATTGGGGCGTAGGAATTAGGGTTTAGGTTTAGGGTACCCTAGCCCCAAACCCTACACCCCAAATCGCAAACAACTCTAAAACCTAAGTAGAGCCTCAGCCACCGACCCTGATTCCCAAAACCCACGCCGAAAACCTCAACTCGTCCAAAGGTATACCTTGCCAGCATGCCTCCCCCCCCCCCCCCCGCGCGCGCTCAAAGAACAAATATTTTACTTCGAACATCCCCACCTTCTGTGGGGGTAGGGATACTCTGCGGTTGGGCACGCCAGGACACTCTGGGGCCAGGCACTCCAGGGACACTCTGGGTTTGGGCACTCTAGGGACGTTCTGGGGCTGGGCACTCCAGGGACACTCTGGGGTTGGGCACTCGAGGGAGACTCTGGGGCTATGCACTCCAGGGAGACTCTGGGGCTGGGCACTCCAGGGTGAGCGAGGAGTAGACCGGGCGAGGAGAAGAGTTGAGTTTAAAGTCTAACAACCCCACACCGAGGGTGTGGAAAAAGACATATTTCGATAAGCAATTCCTATAACCGGGGTTCTGCACCAGCTGAGAACCCCAAACCCTAAACCCTAAACCCTAAACCCCAAACCCCAAACCCCAAACCCTAAACCCTAAACCCTAAACCCTAAACCCTAAACCCCTAAACCCTAAACCCCTAACCCGAAACCCTAAGCGGGGCGCCTTGCTGGCGGGCCCCCTCGAGCTGCTGCTTCAGCTCAAGAGCCTGCTTTGTTTTTCTGGGGTTTCAGGGTTTTGGGGCTTTAGGGTTTAGTTAGGGTTTGGGGTTTGGGGTTTGGGGTTTGGGGTTTGGGGTTTGGGTTTTAGGGTTTTGGGGCTTTAGGGTTTAGTTAGGGTTTGGGGTTTGGGGTTTGGGGTTTGGGGTTTGGGGTTTGGGGTTTGGGGTTTGGGGTTTGGGGTTTGGGGTTTGGGGTTTGGGGTTTGGGGTTTGGGGTTTGGGTTTTAGGGTTTTGGGGCTTTAGGGCTCAGGGTTTTTAGGGTTCTAAACTTTAGGTTTTGGGCTTCGGGTTTCGGGCTAAGAGTTTAGGGTTCAGGGATTGGTTTGGGGGCGGGTTCAGGCGCACTTAATGAAGCCTTAAACGGGGTTACTATTTAGAGGTTGTTTAGGGCTTGTAGGGCCTTTGGGGTTTAGGGCGTGCCTGTGCAACCTGCACACAATGTCCTCCTAAACGGCATCGATCCACTTTAAGGTATGCGGGCGTTGTTCCCGTTATTGTCATCATTCTTCGGGTGGTGGTGGTGGTGGTGGTGGTGGTGGTGGTGGTGGTGGTGGTGGTGGGGGCGGTGGTGGGGGCGGTGGTGGTGGTGGTTGGTGGGTGGTGGTGGTGGTGGTGGTGGTGTGGTGGGTGGTGGTGGTGGTGGTGGTGGTGGTGGTGGTGGGTGGTGGTGGTGGTGGTGGGGGGGCGGTGGTGTGGTGGTGTGGTGGGGTGGTGGCGGTGGTGGTGGTGGTGGGGGGTGGTGGGTGGTGGGGGTGGTGGTGGTGGGGGTGGCGGCGGCGGTGGTGGGGGTGGGGGTGGTGGTGGTAGTGGTGGTGGGGGCGGTGGGGGTGGTGGTGGTAGTGGTGGTGGGGGCGGTGGTGGTGGTGGTGGTGGTGGTGGTGGTGGTGGTGGTGGTGGTGGTGGTGGTGGTGGTGGTGGTGGTGGTGGTGGTGGTGGTGGTGGTGGTGCTGCTGCTGCTGCTGCTTTTGCTTTTGCTTTCGTGGTTGTTTCTCAACTCGTTCAACCGTTCAAGCGCTGAGCCCGCACAGAAGCACGGAGCTCCCTGCCAGGAAAAGGTACGGAACGCTAAACAGACTCCACGGAAGACCCACAACCACCATTGGATGCACCTGAGGTCAAGCGGTTTAGGGTTTAGGGTTTAGGGTTTAGGGTTTAGGGTTTCGGGTTTAGGGCTTGCACAAACCGCAGCAGAGACAGTCTGGGGAATCGGCGGTCTTTTTGGACTTTTGTGCAAAAGAGGCGCGGCACAGACCTAACGACAATGGATCCGACATTCTGCAAGCGAAAGGCACTGGGGGCGAATCGGGTCCTCAGCTGATGGGGGCAAGAGACGAGCTTAATCCTCTCCGCGTAGAGTCCGTATGAAGCACCCTAAGCCGTAACCCTAAACCCTAAACCCTAAACCCTAAACCCTAAACCCTAAACCCTAAACCCTAAACCCTAAACCCTGCCCCCTAAAACCTCCACCCCGAATAATCCGGGTTTAAGGTTCAGGCCTTGTCCTAGCAATGCATGTCCCCTTGCTGTGGGCCAGGATCGCGTGCAACTCCCTGTCATCTTCGCGCAGTGTGGTCCGCAAACCCTAAAGCCTAACCCCCCGAACCCTAAACCCTAAACCCTAACCCTAAACCCCAAACTCTAAACCAAACCCCAAGTCCGTGCCATGCAACACCCTATCAACTCTTGCATGGCATTCCGCCCGGCCGACAGGCAGACTTGAAAACGGGGGGAACGGGGGGGGGGGAGTTTATTAAAGGACCCTGAGGCGTGCTTAGGGTTTAGGTTTAGGGTTTAAAGAGTTCAGGGAGTTTGGGGAGTTTGGCCTGAAACTTGAAAAGTTAACTCAAAATCCATTTTCGATGGAGGCTGATCAAGATGAAGGGCCACCTCAGAACTTTGAGTTTAGGGTTTGTAGGGTTTGTAGGCGTTGTAGGGTTTGTAGGGTTTGTAGGGGCTTGTAGGGTTTGTAGGGTTTGTAGTGCAAAAACGAACCCTAAACCCTAAACCCTAAACCCGAAACCCGAAACCCTAAACCCTTTTCAGAACTCAAAGGGGCCCATCAGTTTGATCAACCCACTTCTTGAATCTGGGGCGACACTGTGGCTAGTCAAGGTGCTGCACGTGTGGCAAGCACTTCTCAACTTGGACGCCTCAATCTGCCAGCGCAAGTTATGCTGCTGAAACGGCATTCATAAATATTCTGCCCCTTGCAAACATAAGGTCAAGCAAGTCACGTGAAAGCCAAAAGGGTTTAGGGCTTTGGGTTTAGTTTAGGGTAACCCCCAAGCCTTACTGCATGGGGCATGACCCTTGCTTACAGCCCGGGCAGCTTTCTTTCGGAGCCCTCAGCAAAGCGGGTAGCCCCCCGCTGAGGCTGGCCAGCACCACTGTGATGTCGTCACAGTAGAACTCCTCTTCCAGGGATTTAGGGTTTAGGGTTTAGGGATAGGGGTCGGAAAAATCACGAATGGCACTCCCCTATGGTCCCTACATTGTTACCGTATCAGAACCTCCAAAACCCTACTCCAATCATTCAGGCCCTTACATTAGGCGCAAAGTTGGCGCTCACTGCCCTCGTTATCTTCCAGTCTTCTGAGAGGGTTTAGGGTTTAGGGTTTAGGTTTAGGGTTCAGGGTTTAGCCTAGACCCGAAACCCTAAACCTTAAACCCTCAACCTTCTGTTTAAGGGGTTGATAAGGGAACCTGACCCCCGCAAAAATGGGAACCAGGGTTGAGTCTTGGTCAACAAGAGCAAGAAACCGTGTGCAGCAGATACTCGTTGGCACGCGCGCTTTTAGGGTTTAGGGTTTAGGGTTTAGGGTTTACGGTTTACAAGTGCGAGTGCGCTTGCTGAGGAGCAGCGAGGCACGAAGCTCAGCAAACGTTTCCCAAAGGCCGAAGGCCCTCATATGTGGGTTGTTCAACATATTGCCAGGGCCCTTTGGGGGGGTGCCTCTATCATGGCAGTATTGCGTCTTAACAGTTTGTAGATTACTCAAACAGTACCCCCTGGTTCTTAGTAGGGAAAGGAGGGAATTAGGGTACCTCATTCCCTCATTCCGTACGAAAAACCAGACAAAGTAGACTGCGAACCGTCCACATGCCTCCTGATCGTTCCACGACTGCTTGGCCCTCTGCAGAAGTCCACGCACTACCTGGCAAACTCATTTCTAGAAATCCTTCTTGGGGGGAAACCACCGTTACGCCCTAAACCCTAAAGATTAGGGGGCGTGACCCCGAGGACTCGACGGCTAGAAGGCGTATGTGGCCCTGTTGATCTGGAATGTGGGATCTCTTTCCTACTATTTGCCAAAGAACCCCAAAAACACAAGATAATAGTCCCTTGGTTACCCTGATAAGGAAGACTGTGTTTATTTTATGTTTTATACTTTTTTGGTGGGGGGGGGGTGGTTCTTAAGCGGTACGGCCAAAGTGACAGAGAACGAAGGTTCCTGTTTAAGCCTACTAAAACTGTCAAGTTCAAAGCTGTTGAATCCCTAAACCCTAAACCCTAAACCCCGAAACCCCTACACCCTAAACCCCGACACCCCGAAACCCCGGCACCCTAAACCCCGAAACACCTAAACCCTAAACCCTAAACCCCAGACTCCTAAACCCTAAACCCTAAACCCTAAACCCTAAACCCTAAACCCTAAACCCTAAACCCTAAACCCTAAACCCTAAACTAAAGGATTGAGGGGAACCACGGAGCCGCATTCCTGCATGCGAGCTTCCCCCTGCTCCGTGGCAAAATTCCGGCAACTCGGTTTAGGGTTTAGGGTTTAGGGTTTAGGGTTTAGGGTTTAGGGTTTAGGGTTTAGGGTTTAGGGTTTAGGGTTTAGGGTTTAGGGTTTAGGGTTTAGGGGGTTTAGGGTTTTGGGGTCCCCTGTTTGGGGGGGGGGGGGGGGGGGGGGGGGTCCCTTTAAGGGGATTCTACTCTACTTGGGGGAATAAAAGGGTACCCCTACTTTTGCAAATTCCCCTTGTGGGAGGGGATTGAGCTAGAAGGGCTCTTTTTTGGGTCTCCAATTGGGAATTGTCATATACTTGGAGGTACCAGGTACCGAAACCCCAATTATCACTGCACTGATAAGCCCCCCTAAGTCCCCTAAGTAGGTTATAAGTAGATTTATAATTGTGGTTATAAGCAACCCTAAACCCTAAACCCTAAACACTAAACCCTAAATCCTTGTGGTTACAAGTACCCATGAACCTCCAAGTATCCTTTTTACCAAAAGAAGGCACGTTAACTTTGGATCGACCTCCATGAGCCTAAAAGTCACAGGAATCCCCTAAACCCTAAACACTAAACCCTAAACCCTAAACCCTAAACCCTAAACCCTAAACCCCAGACTCCTGAGCCCTAAACCCTAAACCCCAGACTCCTAAGCCCTAAACCCTAAACCCTAAACCCCAGACTCCTAAACCCTGGGACCCTGAACCCTAAACCCTAAACCCTGAACCCTAAACCCTGAACCCTAAACCCTAAATCCTGAAAGGACCATGCCTCGGTGGCAGAGGCACCCTCCGACTGCAAAGCCTCTGGAATGAAGCAGGGCTTACCCCTAATATTCTCACATCGTAATACAAGAATAATGTGAACATACTAATAGCATATTTAAAATCTTGTTGAAACTAGTATTAGTACGAGTCTTAATTTACACAATAATCATGTCATACTTAAGCTGCGATATGTATACATATACGTATGCATATGCATATACATATACATACACATATACATATACATATACGTATACATATACATATACAGATACACATACATATATACATATATATATATATATATATATATATATATTTATTTATTTATTTATTTATTTATTCATTTACTGGTTAACTGTTTGATTGAATGATTCATAAAGTACTGTACTACTATAACATGTTTGATGTACGACTATTTGCTTCTATTTTCCAAATATTATATACTGTTATCCTACTCTTTTCTTCTTATATTTACCAGTCTCCTATGACTGTATTCTTTTAGGTTGACCTGCGCAGGTTGCGCCCTCCTTGATTTCCCTGCAGGACCTGTCTTGGAGAACTTCTTGCAGAGGGAGCGCGGGCCCAAACACCTTAAACCCGAAACCCGAAGCCCAAAAAACCCTGAAATCCTGGGTTTAGGGTTTGGGGTTTAGGGTTTAGGGTTTCAACCCTAAGCTAGCCCCAAAGGTCCCAAACCTCAAGGGGCCTCCAGGGTCAAGTACCGGAGATCCATCGTGGTGAGAAACTCCCAGACACCTTTGCCGCCGGTCGAGGCTCTCAGGTCTCGATGTGGTTGAGGGTTTAGGGTTTAGGGTTTAGGGTTTGGGGTTTAGGGTTTAGGGTTTAGGGTTTGTCGGGCTTAGGGATGAGGGGTCTGAGGAGGTTGTAGTTAGATTGGTTCAGGCTTCTTGGTTTCTGGGTGTTTTCGGGGCTCTTGGCTTAAGGCTTAGGCGGGTTGAGGCCATACCTTCGGAGATATAAGGGCTTCCGGTTTGGGGCTGAAGCCCGTGGATGCTTCGGGACCTACATCAGTGGAGCCCGAATTAAACCCTAAAATCTGAAGGCCCTGAACCCTAAACCCTAAACCCTAAACCCTGCCGTCCAAGTGTCCATCACTGCAAACGAGTAAATATGCCTCAGAAGGCTTCGCAACCTGCCACTCCACGATCTCAGGGACGGCGATGACGCCGGAGTCCTCCAGGGTGAAAGGCGGCTTGACACACGTAGGGTTGAGGGTATATACACCCGTAAACCCTAAACCCTAAACCCTAAACCCCAAACCCTAAGCCCGAAACCCTCAACCCTACTAAACCCTACATGAGGTCTGCTGTGGGCCTTGAAGATCAAGTCCCCAAGTGACCGGGAGACGGCGATCTGAGGCGATGACAGGTCCTGCCATCGCAAGATTCAGGCCTTCAGGGTTTAGGGTTTAGGGTTTAGGGTTTAGGGTTTAGGGTTTAGGGTTCAGTCATTCGGAGTGTCTAGGCCCATGGTCGACGCACTTTTCTGTCCGGAGGTTCTTGCAGACTCTACAGTACTCAGAAACACAACAAAAGCTAGCGTACTATAGGGGCCTTAACAATTAGAACAGGGTTTTATAGGATTTAGGGCTATTATAGGGGACTTAATCACTAGAATATATATATATATGTATATATATATATATATATATATATTGTTTTTTTTTTTTTTTTTTTTGCGGGGGGGGGGGGGGGGGCAGGTATAATTGTAAAGGAACCGTAACAAAACGCCGTAAGCAATTCTTCCGACCCCTAAATTATGTTCAACATGGGGGTTTACGAAATTCGGGTTACCTTAGTGGGTCCTCCCAAAGACGGGACATTAGGGACCCCGTATTTTCGTAAGCCCCCCCCATATATACCTGGGTTTTCCTTTAAGGCCCTAGAGTCCCCACAATCAGTAATGATTTCCACCCAAAACCCTAAACCCTAAACCCTAAACCCTAAACCCTAAACCCTAAAGAGTGGCGCACTAGACAACTCTTCAGGAGACGAAGGCAGTCCTTCGGCGCAACGCGGTAGTCGCGAGTGCCATCCTACAATGTGTTTAGGATGGCCTTGGGAGTGTTTAGGGTTTAGGGTTTAGGGTTTGGGGTTTAGGGTTTAGGGTTCCGGGTTTAGGGTTTAGGGTTTAGGGTTTGGGGTTTGGGGTGTAGGGTGTAGTGTAGGGTTTAGGGTTGAGGGGTTTCGGGGTGAGGGGTTCAGCCCTCCCACACCCGACGGCCTAAACGGCAAGGACGGGCAGAGATGATGTGCAAAAGGGCTGAGGTCGAGGAGCTGAAATAGGGGTTTCCGAAATTAGGGGTACCGAAAATCGGGGTCCTTATTTTGCAGGGACTCCTACTATTTGTGGGCTCAAATTAGGGGTCTCGTACTTTCGTAAACCCCCTACACCCTAAACCCTAAACCCTAAACCCTAAACCCTAAAAGGTCGTAGGATCCTTGGAGCCCACCTGAAATACTCTCTTGTGTGCATGCTCCCTGAAGCCATTCGAGGGTTTAGGGTTTAGGGTTTAGGGTTTAGGGTTTAGGGTTTAGGGTTTAGGGTTTAGGGTTTAGGGTTTAGGGTTTAGGGTTTAGGGTTTAGGGTTTAGGGTTTAGGGTTTAGGGTTTAGGGTTTTTTTTTTTAGGGTTTAGGGTTTAGGGGCATCAGCCGCTCTCACAATATCGGCCAAGAGTCTGCATACTCAGAGATGATGACTTTGCCACCTGCCTGCTTGACGCGCGCCGCTTCATCTTCTCGCGATGCTTTGTGGTCAGACGTCTGATACCTGGTACGACTGGTGCGACATCACGTTTTCACACATGCAGAAGGGCCCAGAAGTGCCCGACTCAGTGACATAATCGCCCTATCCCCCCCGCCTCCGCCCACCATGACAAATGTCCGGAATGGAGCCCCACTATTGCAAGAAGCCCAGTAGGCCACTCAAGCACTAAACCCGAAATCCTCCTAAACCCTAAACCCTAAACCCTTAAGAACAACTTCAAAAGATGCCAAATTGAGGTCAGGCTCAGCCTGCCCCTAGACCCCAACAAACGATCCTAACGAGGGCCACTCTGAGGTGCCCAAACAGCTTTTAAGGATAAAGCATGAAAAAAAGCACAACGGGTTAGACTCCAAACCCTACACCCCAAACCCTAAGCCCCTAAGCCCCAAACCCCAACCCTAAACCCTAAACCCTATACCCTAAACCCTAAACCCTGAACCCCTAAAACCCTAAACCTTTCAGATCCCGAATCCCGATCGAAGCTCGGGGCGGCCGGAGCCAAGTGCTGCAGCGGATGCGGCAACATCAACAGAACGATATCTGGGGGTTTCCGAAATCAGGGTACCCTTTGTTTTATTTTATTTTTTTCTGGGGGGGGGGGGTCCGAGGAGTTTAGGGTTCAGGATTCAGGGCTTGGGGTTTAGGGAAACCCTCAAGTCTGAACCCTAAACAGTTCCAAACTGATCCAAGCACAAGCTTCTGCCAGCAAGGTACACTGTCTTGCTGTGAGAATCGAAGAGCATAGCCCGCGAATCTCCCACGGTGGCGACCCAAACGGACTTACCCCCTTAGCTCGCAGTGGGCAAGACAAAACCTTCTCAAAGCGGCTAAGGAGGAAGAGTGTGAAACCTTTGGCTTTTCGGGAGGTTTGGCACATAAAACGCTGCACCGGGTTTAGGGTTTATGTTAGGGTTCTATTTTTTTAGGGTTTAGGGTTTAGGGTTTAGGGTTTAGGGTTTAGGGTTTAGGGTACACAGCACCTGGAACTTCAGGGAGTTACGAGGGGTGGAGTTGCCCAAAGCGTCCATGTACTCATACAGCAGATGCTTAATAGAGCCGAAAAGGGAAGCACCTGGAGTCGGACGCCAGTCTCTCAAGACAACAGGGTTTGTTCGGGTCTAGGGTTTAGGGTTTAGGGTGTGGCAGAGAGCCGGAGAAGATGGACTGACAGAGTCTTGACGCTATGCTGCTGGGTCTGACCCGGTGCACGTCATTTAGGTGCCTTAATATTCGAAAAGGGTTTCGGGGGTCATTAGAAATACAAGTAGATACATATATATTTATGTATATATATATATATAATTACTGTAGGGACCATAAGGGAATATTATGGAATAACATTAGCAAATACCGACCCCTATAGTACTTGGGGTCCTTCGTGGTATCTATCGGGTCCATGCTGGTTTAGCACTTTGCCAGCTGCAGACTTCACTTTGCGCTAAGCCCTACTCATCCCCAAACCCTACTCAACCCCAATCAACCCTACTGAACCCTTTTTAGGGTTAAGGGTTTAGGGTTAAACCCCACCTCGGACCCTCTTTACCTACAGATCCGTCGTAGCTGCCCTTCAGTAGTAGGTAGAACCCAGATAAAACTGTAGGTAAAGAGGGTCCCAGATAAACCCTCAACCCTCAACCCTCAACCCTAAACCCTAAACCCCTAAACCCCTAAACCCCTAAACCCCTAAACCCCTAAACCCCTAAACCCCTAAAATATACCCAAGCGGCCTGGGGCAACCAGCGCGACGGTACCCGTAGCTCCGCAAAGATGGAGGTCAAGCTCTTCCTGAACAGCCGCGGCCTCAGAGGGTGGCTTGGGGTTTAGGGTTTAGGGTTTCGGGCTTCGGGTTTGGTTTTTGTTTGGGGGGTGGGGGGGGGGGGGGGGTTTGGGGGGTTTGGGAGGGTTGTGGGGTCCCCGGTGTTTATTTAGCAGGGTTTCGGAGGGTTTTGGGTGGGGTTTTGTAGGGTTCTGGTGATTTCTTCGAAGGGTTTTGGCAGAAGCCCACAGACATCGGACCCTAAACCCTAAACCTTAAACCCTAAACCCTAAACCCTAAACCCTAAACAGCCCACAGACATCGGACCTCCATCTCCTCCTGGACATTGCGGAACGCGGTGGTCAGGGCTGCAGCAGCGTGCCCGCGCTTGAGCGCTTCCGCGCACTGCGCCTGCGGGAGTTGTTTAGGGTTTAGGGTTTAGGGTTTTAGGGTTTGGGGCTTAAGAAGGGCGAACTCGGAACCCCCGACCCTACAAATTCGCAGGTTGTGCCCTAGAAGTACCCCGAAGGTACCCCCCCCCCCCCCCAAAATACGATAAGCCTTATTCTAGGACCACCCCAAAAAGGTTGCCCTCCTTTCGTAAACCCGCACCCTATGTAAACCCCCTATGCCTATAAACCCAAAACCCAAAACCCTAAACTCATTCATGGGGTCTGAGGCCCCATTTGGCAGCATCATCCTGCATCTCGCAACTATGCCAAAGCTCCTGACCCTTCCATAGGTTTAGGCAGATTGGGGTAGCTTTAAGGTAGTTTTAAGGGTGGTTGAGGGCAGTCCAGGCTGTTTAATAGTAGCTCAGCGCAGATTAGGGTGGCCGAGGGTGTTTCATTTTTTTTTTTTTGGGGGGGGGGGGGGGGGGGGGGTCGTTTAAGGTCCAAGGCTGCGGGGGAGTTCGGGATTTATGAGGTTTCGCTTTTTGCAAACCGTCTCCTCGGGTACCACTGGGCACTGGGCTACCAGAGAATGAACCCCCAAACCCAAAACCCGAAACCCGAAACCCTAAACCCTGAACCCTAGTTCAAGTCCTGCTGCAGGAAGTACGGCATCGTCTGCGCCGCTCGGAGTGCGGGCCAGTGGCCGTTGATGCCGTGCCCGTCGAAGACGCAAAGTGCCTTCCACCCGCAGGACCTGGGGGGGAGGGGTTTAGGGTTTAGGGTTAGGGTTTGCAGGGTTTAGGGTTTAGGCTTTTGAGGGTTTGGGGGTTTGAGGGGGTTTGGGGGTTTGGGGGTTTGGGGGTTTGAGGGTTTGGGGGTTTGGGGGTTTGGGGGGTTTGAGGGTTTGGGGGTTTAGGGTTTTGAGGGTTTGGGGGTTTGAGGGTTTGGGGGTTTGGGGGTTTGGGGGTTTGTGGGTTTGGGGGTTTGGGGGTTCAGGGTCGAGAGGGTCTAGGGCTTAGGTCGGACGGTCACAGGGCTTCCTTTCGTGTGCCCCGAAAAACCATAAACCTTGCATATTCCAGGAACCACAAAACCCTCAACCCTCAACCCTCAACCCTTAACCCTCAACCCTAAACCCTCAACCCTAAACCCTAAACCCTAAACCCCAAACCCCTGAACCCTGAAGATTCTATGTCTGCAAGGAACAGCTGCGCCGCTGCGAAGTTGTCCTTGAGATATCTGTGCAAGGGAACTGTTGCCGAGTGGTTTAGGGTTTAGGGTTTAGGGTTCAGGGTTTAGGGTTTTGAGTTTTTAAGGGTCTAGGGTTTAGGGTTTAGGGTTCAGGGTTTAAGCTTTAGGGTTTAGCGTTTATAAGAGTCTAGGGTTTAGGGTTTCGGGTCTCAAAGCAGGGTTGTTCCGAACTGGGTTTGCCTTCTCGCCACCGTTTCTTCTCTGGGACGCCACCCGATTTTCAAGCAACTTCCACCTAAAATTTCCCTAAGCTTAAATTAAAGGCCCTAAGCATGACCGCTACAAGCCACGCACGCCATCCGTGCAGCCAAGAACCTGTACAGGTAAGTCTACACACCCCTAAACCCTACAAAAAAAACCCGAAAACCTACAAGGGTTTAGGGTTTGAATTGTTTATAGGGTTTAGGGTTTGGGGTTTGGGGTTTAGGGTTTAGGGTTTAGAGCCTGACCCTACAACCCACAACGCACAATATGGGGGGGGCCTGAATAATAAAAATAGAGTCTTGGGGGGTTCCTCTAGTATAATTACAAAGGGACCCTAAGGGAATACGACTAGTAATTCCGACCCCCATCTAACCCTAAACCCTAAACCCTAAACCCTAAACCCTAAACCCTAAACCCTAAACCCTAAACCCTAAACCCTAAACCCTAAACCCTAAACCCTAAACCCAATTCTGAGCCGTCCTGGCCGACCGTGGTGTCACCAATCGACTTACATCCCTTGCAGCTGGCGATGGCAATACCCCAGGTCTTTGCTAGGGTGCTCTCGTTGCAGATGCCCTCCTGTCCGGTTTAGGGTTTAGGGTTTAGGGTTTAGGGTTGAGGGTTCAGGGTTCAGGGTTTAGGGTGTAGGGTTTAGGGCATAGGGTTGAGGGCATAGGGCTGAGGGTAGAAAGAGCTGACATACGAGAGCTTCCAGGGTTCTGGACAAGTGCGGGACACATATTTTGGGACATTCCCATGCGTCTGCACATTTCCCAAAAAACGTGCGTAGTATATGTTGTTCAATGAACAAGGGGACTCTCAGCTTCCGTCATCAAGACTAACCCTAAACCCCAAACCCAAAACCCTAAACCCTAAACCCTAAACCCTAAACCCTAAGCCCTAAGCCCTAAACCCTAAACCCTAGGCCCTAGCCTTCTTGGGATTCTTCAGGATGTCTTGAAGGCTACTGCGAGGGGTTTGGGATGTAGACCTTGGCCGTAAACCCCCAAAATCCTACACCTAGACCCCTAAACCCTAAACCAAACCCCAAAACCCTACACCCTAAACCCTGGACCCGAAACCCAGCCTGATGAAGGCTGCCGCCGTCTTCGGGGAGAAACGTCCATGCACGTTCCGTGTAGGGCTCCTCATAGGCGCTCCAAATCCTTCGAACAAATCAGGTCCAGCTTCCCACGGTTTAGGGGTTCAGGTGGTTTAGGGGTTTAGGGGCTTAGGGGTTTAGAGGTTGAGGGGTTCAGGGGGTTAGGGTTGTGGGGTTTAGGGGTTTAGGGGTTTAGGGTACGGGTTTGGGGTAGATGCTTATGGGGTATAGTGCAATCAGGCAATACTATAGACTGAAGGGATTTCGAAGGCAGTATCCAGCGTGTGGCTTGAGGGGTCACGGTAGAAGGCTTAGATTAGGGTGTTGGCCTTAAGAGTGTAGCGTTTACCAGACCCAAGAATAGCCTAGGAATAAACGCCCTTTGTGTTCAGAGGGGCTTACAAGAAAACCTAAGCCGAAACAAAAGGGGAATAAGGTTTAGGGAGTCGGTTTTCTACATGGCGGCTGTCCGAATGTACAGTTTAGGGTTGAGGGCTTAGGGTTTGGGGTTTATGGTTTAGGTTTGAGGCTGGCAAAGGGGGTAGTTGGGTTGAGTCTAAGCCCCCAAGCTTGCTGGATGACTTTTTAGCTTGAGCCAATCGCCGCAATCGCAAGTCACGACCTGGCAACATGCAGAGAAGATCTGCTCAGAATAGAACTTTGGTGAGCCAGTGTTTGTTGGGAAGCTGTCTTCACTGGAACGTGCTTCACCTCCGGAATACACCACGCCGACCTTAACATTGTTCCCCAGCCCCAAAAACCGAAGCCCAACGTCTTTTAACAGAAGCCCTAAACCTAAACCCCAAGCCCTAAGCCCCAAACCCTAAACCCCAAACCCTAAACCCTGAGCCCTAAACCTTAAACCTTAAATCCTCACGTCTGCCACGTGGCCAGCCGTCGGACGGGGGTTCGCCGCGCACGACGAAGGAGCCCTGCAACACCCCCAACGGCTCGGGGGCAAGCGCTCAGGTCTCAGGGCTTTGGTTTAGGGTTCAGGGTTTAGGGTTAGGGTTTAGGGGTTAGGGGTTTGGGGTTTGGGGTTTAGGGTTGAGAGTTTAAGGTTTCGGGTTAGGGCTTGGGTCGTCTTGCTTCCCTAACCACCCTAAGCTCCTGTAAGCTCCTAGACCCTGAAAAAAAAACCTGATTTCCAGCTTTCTTCTGCGTGGAAGCCCTTCTTCCGGGGTCTGCGTGCAATGAGCGAGGCAGCCGTGTCATGTCCTTGCGGAAGCCAAGTAAGGGTTTACGGTTTACGGTTTAGGGTTTAGGGTTTAGGGTTTAGGGTATAGGGTATAGGGTTTAGGGCTTAGGGTTCTGAGTTAAGGGCCTCATGGGGTTCAGCTCCCAGAAAAGCCACTTTCCCTTGACAGGGCTTAGGGAATTGCACTCGAATAACCTACAAAATCAAACCCTGCTCTTATTGCTGAGGCCGATGCATAAACCCTCAACCCTCAACCCTCAACCCTCAACCCTAAACCCTAAACCCTAAACCCCAAACCCCAGACCCTACCGAGCGGTGGCTTGAGGCCTCGTGCCCAAAGGCCTCCTCGAGGTCGCTCTCACTGAGAACGTGGCACTGCCCAGCCTAGGAGCTTCATCTGAGAGGGAATGGGTACCTGAAGTGAAGGCTCCAATGTAGTTCCTGTTTGGGTTCCTTATAGGGGATTCTAGTAACCCCCGCAAAAAGGTACTACATAGGAGCCTTTGGGTAGGGTTTAGGGATTACACTAAGGCTCTTGGGCCTCAAAACCCCAGGATTTGAGACCCCCCCGAACCCTTCCTACTGTAGGAAGTACCGTTCCTCTGTCGGAGAGTCCTTGGAGTCTTAGGGGTAGAGATTGGGGATTAGGGTTTTTAGGGTATGGGGTTTGGGGGGGGGGGGTCAACGAGGAGCCTTTAAGAAAGTACTCTGACAGGCAGACTGCCGTCATGTCTTGCAACTGTGGATGACTCCATTCAACCAAAATCACCATAACCCCAACCTGAGGTGAATGCGGGAAAATTTATGGGAAACCGAAAAACACATCATGATGTGTACTTTGCAGATTACATATACTTATGAACCAACTTTCTGGAGATAGGGGTCCACGTGAAGTTCAAGTCTGTGAGAACCTGATGAGCTGTGCGGTACATTTAAGTACGATGCGCCCCAAATCGCCCGGCATAAAACTTGTTGAATTCCCTCTTATACTAACAGTCCTTAATAGGGAGTATAGTACCCACTACTATAGTCTTTATGACGGACTGTTAGTATAGGAGGGAACATCCCAACGCATTGCCAAGGTGCAACTGACTTCTTCTGTTTGACGTACTCCTCTCGCCTCACTGCGGAGTCATATGAGACAGCAACATGTGTGATGCCGTTGGGCCCTAAACCCTAAACCCTAAACCCTGAACCCTAAACCCTAAACCCCATGTTGCAACTTTGACCTCCTAAGCAGCAAGCCTGCCCCTCGCCATCGCGTCTCCTGAACCCTAGGGATCCAACGAAGACAATAATGCCCACATTGTATGAATAAGGAATACCTAACTTTGGGGTTTCCGAAAATAGGGGTACCCTTTTTGGGGGTCCCTTTAAGGGGATTCTACTCTATTAGGGGCAGAAAAAGGGTAGTACCCTTATTTTCGGAAATGCCCATTTGGAGCCTTAGGGCAATCCCCTGTTTTGCAGATGCCGCGCCTTCTCTGCAGTTCCTCCAGGAATTCTGGGTCCACGCTTTGTCGGTGAGTGGTGTGGCGGGAAGCCTATGCAGCGAGATGGGGGTTTCCGAAATTCGGGGGTGCCTTTCTGGGGTCCTTATGATAAGGGGATCCTACTATTTGGGGGTCTATGTTAGGGGTCCCCGAGTTTCGTAAAACGGATCTACTCAGCGCGATGCAAAAGGACCGTGGTGCGAACGTCTCGGTTCCACTGCGGGAATGTGGGCAGTTTCCTGAACTGGGAATTCATTAGTGAAGGCGGCACCCTTTCAATAGGGATCCCGAAATGGACCCTTATATAGAGAACTACCCACATGTTGCGAATGCTACCGCCTGCGAAGGAGCAAAATGCCGATGGAGCCCTAAACCCTAAACCCTAAACCCTAAACCCTAAACCCTAAACCCTAAACCCTCAACCCTAAACCCTAAACCCTAAACCCTGTTGGCAACTCCAGGTTGCCACTCTCCCGGACCCCACCTGTTTCGAATAGCACATGGGGAAGGGGGAAAGGGGGCGGGGGCCGGGGTTGCTCTGCCTTAAGGTCCCATCGAAGTACTTCATCACCGGATGATAAACCCCAAACCCCAAACCCCAAACCCTAAACAAAACCCTGAACCCTAAACCCTGGGACCTTTTGCAAAACGGACACTCTTAAAGCCTGCCCAAAAAATGGACTTGCGAGACCTGTTGCACCTCCCAGCCTGCAAGAGCTGGACACCCAAAGGTCCCCAACCCCAGCGGAACTGAAGGTAGGGTTTAGGGCTTGGGGTTCAGGGTTTAGGGTTTAGGGTTTCGGGCTTAGGGTGAGGGTTTAGGGTAAGGGCTTCGGGGGTGTTCGCCTTCGGGGTTCAGGGGTTTGAGTGGATTCTGCGCAAAAACGCCAAAGGCGCGTCACTCAACTCAAACCCTGCACTGTACATCATAACTCAAAACCCACCCTAAACCCTAAACCCTAAACCCTAGACCCTAAACCCTAAACCCTAAACCCGGCAACCCCAAACCCCAGAACTTCCCCAAGCCAGCCTCCTCTTCGACAGCCGTGACATAGTCGCTCCTGGCCCTCCGTATCCAGACCTGCACGTAGGGTTTTGGAGGTTCTTGTAGGGGCCTGAAGAATTGGGTTTTGGGGGGTTTGCCGTAGTATCATCATGAGGGGACATAGGGGAATACGATTGGTAAATATTCCGACCCCTATATTATAGGGTTGGTGGAGGGTTTAGGTTTTAGGAGGGCTTTGGGCTTTGGAGGGTTTAGGGTTTTGGAGGGTTTTGGGCTTTGGAGGGTGTAGGATTGAGGGGCTTCGAGAGCTTGTGGACTACGCAGTTTTTGAACGTCGTCTAATCCCTGAGGCCTGGGCTCTAGGGCCTCAGGGCTTACAGAACTACGCTCCCGGTTAAACCCTAAACCCTAAGCCCTCAATCCCCTGTTTAGGGTTTGGTGTTTAAGGTTTAGGCATATCAAACCCTCATCAAAGGAGCAGCTTACTAACATAGTGCCAGCGATGCCCCGAAGCGTTCCTTTGCAACGAAGCAAATCTAAGTTTAGGGTTTAGGGTTTTAGGGTTTAGGGTTTAGGGTTTAGAGTTTAGAGTTTAGGGCACACTACCCCTGGCCGAAATTTGAAGTGACTGAGAACATGATGACGTGGCAAATGGCGACTGCCAGATTCGAGGCAGATCACGGGGTACAAGAACGACACGTACGAAGATGCCGGACTCCCGAGAAATCCGTGAGTGCTGGCATTCTGGTCACGCGAGGCCCTACACCCTAAACCCTAAACCCTAAACCCTAAACCCTAACCCCTAAACCCTAAACCCTAAACGACGACAGTTTCGAGGCTGGCCTACCCAACGATTCGTGAGACTCTAAATCGAAACGAGGATCCTCAGACCCTCTGGGATCCCATGAGAGGGACATCGCTGAAACAACCCTAAACTAAACCCTAAACCCTAAACCCTAAACCTGTGCAATCCTAAAAAAAGGCGAGGACGATGTCAAGGATGGCGATGACCCCAAAAATGCTGGGACTTTTGGGGCACTTTTGTCTTGGGTGTTGGGTTTAGGGTCTAGGGTCTAGGGTTTACGGTTTTGTCCGACTTTAAAGCGGACCCTAGAACCCCTAAACCCCAAACCCTGAACCCTGAACCCGAAACCCTAAACCCTACACCCTAGCTAAGTCCTAAATCCTAAACCCTAAACCCTATATAAACCCTGAACCCTAAACCCTAAACCCCAACCCTCGAAGCAACATCCGACCGTAGCACGCACTTTCGTGCAAAATGGAATACCACAGGCCGATCCCAGAGGGGAGAGGGGGTTAGGGTTTAGGGTTTACGGTTTATCTTGGGGATGAAGCAGCGTTCAGGGTGCAAGGTTAGGAATTGGGTTTCGGGTTGAGGGTGTAGGTTTACGGCCACCCTGCAACCTAAAACCTCGACCAGAGAGTTTGAGGATTGAAACATCTTCCTGTAGAAGGAAAGCCCCCAATGGAAGGAGATTTTCTTCTGGATTCGTGAGACCCTCCTTCATCACGTGAAAGGGACAAAATCGAGAGCCCATCCTTCAGGGCATACCTGCTCTACCTAATCTTCCCTGCTTTAGGGGTTTAGGGTTCTAATCTTCCCTGCTTTAGGGGTTTAGGGTTAGAACTTAGCCCCCCCCCCCCCCCCCCCCCGAAACCCTACCCTAAAAAAGGTGCCTTAACAACTGGAATATAATTTCGGGGTGGGGGGGGGGGGGGTTATGATCGTAAAGTTATATGGGGCCAGAACCAGAAGGGAATAGTATTCGTCATTCCTCCGACCTATATATATATTATAAGATAACCGACTGGCGGTCCTCCCCAAGGCTGTCCGACGGATGCTCGGGCTCAGTCTTGTGGCGCTTGCTGTTGCGTGCCATCAGCAGCATGGCGCACACTCCATGCGGAGCCGGACTTAACTCACAGAGGTGGCCTCAAGATCTACCTGAGCTTGGCTGCTAGCTGGATATGTGCTGGCATGAAATACGAGAATTTTGCGCGTGTGTAAGTGGGATACTGCATCATGGGACAGCTACCATGGAAGCACATGAACTCTGCGTCCCTGTCCCTGTACGATCCACCAAGGCCAGGCACAAGCTGACGACGGGCAGACAAGAAACATGCAACGGGTGGAGGGGAGGAGAAGTCCCCTGCTATGCTCTTAGTTGTGAGGGCCGGAGCGCTAGGCTTCAGGGTTCTGATGATGATGATGATGATGATGATGATGATGATGATGATGATGGTGGTGGTAATGATATCTTGGGAATGGTCAAACTTCAGTGCCAATACTCACAGTGGTAAGGATGATACTGATGATCATGATAGACATTGAAAACAGCCATCGCAAGGCCCATGAAAACGATAACGGCAACTAAAATCAGAAGAGTACTTGTTGTACCAATGGCAATAATGGTTGTACTAGTACTAGTAAAGTAACAAGACTGTGAGAGTAGAAATTTGTGCCTTTAATAACCCGAATGGCAGGTGTTGCAATGTTAAAGAATAATGGTAATTAAGCTCATAGCAATAGACATGGTCACAGTCATCCTCATGGCCACAAACGAAAATACAAGATTTGGCAATAGCAGTTGCAATCGTGGTAGACATGGTAGTAGAAGTCGAAATGATGCCAGCAATAGATGGATTAAAAAAGCCACAATCGTACACATCACAATAACAAAAAAATAATGAATGCGTATGACTGATACGTAATAACATAAATTAGTCGTAGTCATAGTCATAATGATATTAATCAATCGTAATGATAATGGTAATAGTAGTGGCAATGGAAGCAATGGCAACGGCAATGGCAACGGCAATGGTCATGCCAATGACAATGGCAATGGTACTCTACCACTCTGCCACTCTACCACTCTACCACTCTACCACTTTACCACTCCACCACTCCACCACTCTACCACTCTACCACTCTACCACTACTACACCGACGACTCCAAGTCACAACCACAACCTGGAACCTCAACCAGGGGCCCATATTCAAATAGGTGGATGACGATGGAAGCGGTTTAGGCTCCGATATTGACCTGAACCACAAAGACTAGACACCTGGATCCCTAAACCCTGACTAAAGCCCAAACCGTAAACCCTAAACCCTAAACCCCAAGCCCAAAACCCTAAACCCTAAACCCTAAACCCTAAACCCTAAACCCTAAACCCTAAACCCTAAACCCTAAACCCTAAACCCTAAACCCTAAACCCAAACCTTCGGCTTGGCAAGGTGTGCGTGTGTAGCCTCGCCCAGCGTCGCCACCTGCCGAGAGCTCAGCGTGCGACCTTCGAGTCTTCTGAGGGTTCTCAGGGTTCTTGGGGTTTAGGCGTTTAGGGCTTAGGGTTTAGGGTCTAGGGTTTAGGGTTTAGATTTAGGGTTGAGGAATAGGGTTATATGTTTAGGGTTGAGGAACAGGGTTTTATGTTTAGGGTTAGGGATTAGGGCTTGGGGTTCTCGAGCTCAGGGGCTTAGGGCTCTTAGGGCTTCCAGGTTCTGAGAGTTTGAACTTGGGGTTTTGGGTGTATGTTGAGGGTTTCGGCTAGTGCCCTGTTTTGCGAGGGCTTAGGGTTTTGTTTTTCGGGTCAGGGCTTGGTTTAGGGTTCAGGATTTACTGCTTAAGGTTTAGGCTCATTGGGGTCTAAACTGAGGCTCCAGTCGCAAGCGACACCCAGTGCTGTTGGTGGGTCAGGAATGAAGAAGGTTGCATCATAATTACAGCGCTTCTATTTTTGTAGCTTGCAAAACTTAGTAGAAATAACCATTCTAGCAGCTCGAAATATGTCAAACCCCGGACCCTCAACCTGTAGCAGGAACAATGAAAAGCCCAACCCCTAACCCTAGCCCCTAACCCCCAAACCCTAAACCCTAAACCCTAAACCCTAAACCCTCTCCTTCCCTACGAGGCAACAGTAAGCCGCGGCAGTGAGGACGCTGCCCACCCAGCGGCGCGCATCGACTGTGGCACGGAAGCGCCAGAGGCCAATTCCCTGGGCAGCTTTTTCGGGTTCAGGGTTTAGGGTTTAGGGTTTAGGGTTTAGGGTTTAGGGTTTAGGGTTTAGGGTTTAGGGTTTAGGGTTTGCGATTTGCATGATCCCTCCCCCCGGAGTAGACCCATGAGGTCCCTCTTCTCCAGGGGCTAACCATGCTATGAGGTCTCAGCCCATGTGCGCAACATGCCAGGTTCAGGGTTCAGGGTTCGGGGTTAGGGATGAGAGTTTAGGGTTTAGGGTTTAGGGCTAGGGTTTAGGGTTCAGGGTTCAGGGTTCAGAGTTTAGGGCTAGGGTTTAGGGTTTAGGGTTTGGGGCTTAGGGTTCCGGACTGAAGGGGCCGCACCTTCGAAGAGGAGTCAAAAGCCGGAAGAAGCCAGTGGCCTGGTCAGGAGCGTTGCTTACCTAAGGGTATACGATGATGATTAGGGTTTAGGGTTTAGGGTTTAGGGTTTAGGGTTTAGGGTTTAGGGTTTAGGGTTCAGGGTTTAGGGTTTAGGGTCTAGGGTTTAGGGTAATCCGATTCTGGGTACGAAGCCTTATGGGCCGCTCAAAAGAGGAACCACGATTCACAACTCCCTTCTGTTGAAGCCTGCGGGCCACAAGTTGCGGCCTTCTGAATCCTAAACCCTAAACCCTAAACCCTAAACCCTAAACCCTAAACCCTAAACCCTAAACCCCAAGGTGGGCGGGTGGGCCGCCTTCTGAATCCGACTCGCTGACAGTCTGCGTGCGAGAAGAAGACACCTGGTCGAGCCCGGTGGGCGCTAAAAGGGTCCCCTATGTGCTTGAGCCCTCGAGCCCTGAGGCCATAAACCCTGAAGGCTTCAAGTGCCTCTCTCAAACCCCTACACCCTAAACCCTAAACCCCAAACCCTAGACCCTAGACCCTAAACCCTAAACCCTAAACCCTATCCCTAAACCCTAAACCCTATACCCTAAACCCTAAACCCCAAACCCTAAACCCTAAATCAGTTTAGAGTCGGGGTTGAGGGCTGAACAGCCTTGCAAGCCGATGCCTGCAACCTGGACAGTCCCCCAATGTCCGGCACCTAATTAAGGGGAATTACCCGAAACAAAAGGGTTTAGGGTTTAGGGTTTAGGGTTTAGGGTTTCGGGTTTAGGGTTTCGGGTTTGGGGTTTCGGGTTTAGGGTTGAGGCTTTGCTGTATACCCCGCAATTACACCCAATGCCCTATACCCTATACCCTAATTATATACACACACACAACGCCCTAAGCCCCGTACCCTACACCAGTCCGTTCGCTGCGTTTCGGCCCTGGCCTGATCCAAGAATTCCCTGAGATCTTTGGCTTCCTTCTCACCATGCACCTCGGCTAACCGGAAAGTATTGGGTGTAAGGTTTATATACCCTAAACCCTAAACCCTAAACCCTAAACCCTAAACCCTAAACCCCAAACCCTAAACCCTATAGAAGTGAAGATGCGTACAACTATCCTGGGCACCTGGCCCCCGGAAGCAGCACCCGACGCCCCTGTAAGCCCTAAAATCCCTAAGCTACAGTAAACCCCGTGCTGCCACGTGGTACCCTTTGGAAACTGGATCCTTTCTAGGAATCTGGGGCAGAGCTACACCTCCATTGGGTTAGGGGCTTAGGTCAAAACCTCCTCAACCCCTGTAAGCCCTAAAAATCTGTCAGGGCTGAGGGCTCAGGTTTTAGGATTTGGAGCTTTGGGGTTTAGGGTTTAGGGGCTTTGCCGGCACCCGAAATTTGAATATAAGGAACATGCTAGAAGATAGAGACCCATCAAGTGTCCCAAATTCTTGATTGACCCCCCAGGTCGGGCTTCAGGACATTAGGACTCTAGCTGAATGCGCTCTCTTTTATCTGTTCCCCCTTTATTCCCACCTTGGCCCCGAAAATACCTGTTCCTTATTGCAGCCCAATATGGCCACTGTATCCACGAGTGGGAGTCTTGTTTCGACAAGATAGAAACCGAAACCCCGAAAACCCGACTTAAACCCGAAACCCTAAACCCTAAACCCTAAACCCGAAACCCTAAACCCTAAACCCGAAACCCTAAACCCTAAACAGCCTAAACCCCAAACTCTACACACCTAAACTCTGGTGTCTTGCTTGGCAGAGGCCCTGGGAGCCTTGACGGTCCTTGGGCACAGGATTGCTGGGACTTCAGCTCGTGGGAGCCAGAGAAGGCCGAGGCTTAGGGTTTAGGGTTTAGGGTTTAGGGTTTAGGGTTTAGGGTTTAGGGTTTAGGGTTTAGAGTTTAGGGTTTCGGGTTTTGGGTCTTGGGTTTCGGGGTTGGCCTTTATAGGTGTCAATATACTTTCTGTCCCAGGCCGGGGCACGCAGTGCGAGGAGATGGCAATGCCGGCAATGATTGCCCTGGCAAAATAGCCTTGGATTTGGGGCTGGGGGGGAGGGGGGATCTGCATCATGGGCCTGTTGTGGGGGGCGGGGGGGGGGGGGCGGGGGTGGGGGGGGCCGGGGGGGGGGGGGGGGGGGGGGGGCGGGGGGGGGGGGGGGGGGGGGGGTCTACATCATGGGCCTGTTTTGGTTTCCCAACCAGGGGTTTAGGTTATAAGGAATGTATACGAATTCAGGTCAAACTCATGTGGGAGCGACACCTGGAGAAGCGCAACGGTTAGGGTTTAGGGTTTAGGGTTCGGGCCTAGGGTTTCGGGTTTATGGCTTCGGGGGGTTTCTCAAAGGTATCGTACGACCCGTAGAACCCTTTCATAGGTTTAAGCTTGCGGGTTGGGCAGCGCCATGACTTCTTGAAACCTGTGGTATGAAATAGGACCCCCAATCCTAAACCCTAAACCCTAAACCCCACACCCTAAACCCTAAACCCTAAACCCTAAACCCTACACCCTACACCCTAAACCCTAAACCCTAAACCCTAAACCCTAAA